TTTGGACATGTAAGTTTACTGAAAATCTCAGATAAAGACAATGAAAAATACTTATCTTTAATTTTACACCTAATCCTAAAAAGACTTTCTGTGGTTTAACTAGCAGTCTACGGAAGCCATAAAGGGCCATGCATTCGTACATTCACACAAGTGTTATATTCTCAGCATTATGGTAAATGCGGAGAATTCTCTCAAATTAATTATATCGTTATCTCGAGAAAACAAAGTTTTGTTATCTCGAGATTGAGAAAATTAACTCGTTGTCACGGGAAAACGGAGAAAATAAAATGTATGAATTCATGGCCCTTTAGGGCTTCCGTATAGTAGTGCTTCTTTTACCTCATAAATAATCTTTGGCAGAGTACAGAGTCAGAGTATAGCAAATCACCCTGTGCAACAAAATATTTCTTTGTCATTCACACACATAAAGAGCAAAATGCACACAGTCTGTGGTAAAGGAGTGCAGGACTGCAACAGTAGCAGCCTGAGGTGGACAAAACACAGATAAGTTCAGTATAGAAAGGATCCAAGTTTTTTTCATATTAGCTGATACCGATCTATTAAAATATTCCTATATCAGCTCGGATAGCGATCATTAGGATCAGCTCAGGACATCTCTAATGATCATACAATTTACATTATTACATTATGACTACTTAAAGAACATAACACAAGCTTCACTGACACACCGACTACTACAAAATACATAGTAAGAGGTTTTGTTATCAAAATGGATGTACACATTTTAGTGCATTATAGAGTTAGGAGTGTATAAACACACACACACATCATCTTGGCAGTAGACATACAGTATTGAGCCGTCACCATCAGAGTAATGGCAGAAATGCCATTTTCAGGCCAATCCAATCTGATTGTACTGATAGCACAGGCCACCACACACACACACACACACACAACACCACACACACACACACACACACACACAACACCACACACAAAAGGAAACCTTGATGATGTCAGCCGACAAACACTAACTGATGACGACTCAACAAGCACACACTCAGGCACAGGTTGGAAGTACAGTTCAGGACAGATAATTCAAAATGTGTTTGAAAGAAATGTGTTCCAGAAAGTAACGGGACACAAAAATATAAAAAGTAACAGAAAGAAACATTAAGCAATTTCAAAGCTGTTCTGAAAGCAGATGGGAAAAGTTATTTGAGTGCATACTGGATTCAGGTATGAGGCTGTTTGTGAGTGGTTCGACAAAGATAACAATTCCACCTACTGGAAGTCAATTCTGGATGAAGACTATGGTTAAAAAAAAATATATTGGGTTTGACTCCTGCTTGCTGGATTTTAAGCCTCTGAGACAAAAACAACAGAAGCAGCCGAACACAAACTCCACCTTGGACTCACGCACGACACTCGTCTCAACAACTTCAACCTAAGCAAAACCAACAACACCTACACACTCTAAAAACTCTACCTTGCGCCCCCTTTTCCCAAACATACGCAACCACATTATGACCCAAGGGGAGGTGAAGCTGCATTTTTCTGTTCACTCTTCTCCCTCCCTGTGGTTTTCCTGTTAATCAGGTTCTCCATATTGAGCTGGGGTTTTTAGGGCTGGCCTAATTGAAGCGCCATTTATCCATTAACAAAACAGCAGCGCCGCTAATGAGCTTACATCTCATCCCCATTTCATGTCAATTGTTTGTTTGTAGCCATTGTTGTCAGGACAATGGGGCTGTATTGTAAATGAAACAAGCACCCTAAATGCCCTCTGTGTGTGTGTTGTGTGTGTGTAAAAGAGAGAGAAGCCCAAGGGGATTGCCCAGGGAGAAGGGAACAACACCTTAGAGAGAGATGAGAGAAAGGAGAGAGAGAGAGAGAAGGAGGAGAGAAGAAGAGAGAGAGGAGAGAGAGGACCAAAAAGAGATAAAGAGGGAGGGAAGCGAGGTGGAGAAACTGTGTTGATACTTGCTTGTAGAAAGTATTGAGTGTCAAGCAAACAACACTTATCCCAGCGCTCATGTCAGTATAATTCCATGTAGCAAAGAAGGGAATTATGATTTCTAAATTTGAAAGACTGTCGTTATCCTTAAATCCTGGAAACTTTTTTTCCTTAGCACTTACAAGACCAAACAAAATAAACCAGTAACAAAGACAAAACACACCCTAAAACACCTTAATCTGGCTATTCTTTTCAATTGTTGAAAACAAGATTTCACAACCTTGACAGACACTTTAAGGTAAGGTCAAGCATCACAGCTAGATTACCTATAGCATGCTTAGTGTCGACAGATAGAAATCAAAGCCCCGATTGTAAGTGGTTCACAGAACTATGGGGAGCCAAATTATTGATTACGGATTAATTTTGTTGTTGGACATTTTGTGACATCCATAACTTAACAGGCAAAAATACAAGACCAGTATTACAAGATATTAACCAGTAGTTATTATTATCAGTGGAACAGTGGAATTTCAATTTGTGTTTACACTTACATGACCTGAGAACATGATGTACAAAATAGGACCCAAGATTGAATTTGTGTTTAGATTTAAAGGTGTGTAACATTTANNATATAATAATATCCAAAGGTATGTTTACATTAGTGTATAATCATCTGAAAATAAGAATTTATTGTGCTTTTCTAACCTTAGAATGAGCCGTTTATATTTACAGACACTACAGGTCGCCTTTGATGGCGGCCGCCATGTTTAACTGTCTGTCTTTCCTTCTTTATACTTGGTGTGTTGTTCTCTTCTTTCTTTCTGTCCTTACTTCCTTATTTCTCACTATGTCTTCTATGCAGGTGACTCCCTGCTTTTATAAATGTAATATGAAAACCAGTAATGTCCCTGATGGCCTTCTGGCTATGGACTGGTTCTGATACCCAATCTGGCCTTAACAGATATGGATACAACTACCAATTGCGCCTGTGTGTGTGTATATATATATTATATTATATTATATACACACACATACAGCTCGGGCCCCAACAAACATCCCACTGCATTATTGTTGTCGGCCATTTTGGGGACAGGAAATGGGAAATTGACTTTGCCTATCCAGAGGCTAGGATTAACGCTACAGAAAAATGCATCTGACTAGTGCCTAGCTTAGTCAGCTACAGAGCCACTGATTAGAAAAATATGAGTATGTGTTTGGAAGGTGAAACGAGGAGAGGACCAAAGAGGTTTTTTGTTACATAAAGTACAATGTGTGACACAATCTAGGATCAAATCTTGTTGTGTGTATACTTGTGCATGTGTGATGTATTACAGTTGGAATATGTGTGCGTTGTACATGTATTGCTAAGAAATCGAGTTCAACTATAGGAACTGAAAGGACAACTTGAGGTGGACAAATGTTTTGGGTTTCATTATCAAACAAAAAAACACATCCATGATGCAAGTGTACAAAAACAGCTTCTTATATACTTGGCAAGTATACATGAAGTCTAGACAGCTAAGTAAAAAATATGTATGAAAGGAGTTAGACACAATGCAGAGACATTGCCTACAGGGGCATCATTTTGGGTATTTTAAAATTCCAGCTCTTTGTGGGACCTATTGAGATTTGATGTCTGTCACCCAACTGTTACCAACACTGACATCCCAATTACAACTCATTGTTCTGTAGGAACACGATATGCCAGAACTTTTTTCATTCACAGGACAGACTCGTTGAAGCGGTGAAGACATGCCATCTAGTGGACATTATTCTACAACAAAGTGATAAGCATGCTCGCCATTTCCAAAGTGGCGATGGATATCATGCGTAGCATGGAAAACAAACACATACAGCCATTTTATTTGGCAACACAGGACACTAACAACCAGTGGATTTAAAAGCCATGGGGACGCAACTTTGAAAAAAAGCTGAACGCACAAACCCACCCAGCCGCATCGTTACATGATCAAAGCCAGGATGCAAAAAGAGTTGAAAAAAGGAGGAAAGAAAGCATGTCAGCTGGTGGTCAGTGGGTAGCACAGCTTCAAGAATGGAGACTCAGGGGGAGAAGAGACTTTTCTTTTTCAAATGGCGACAGCAAGAACAATTGTGTACTGTGTCTTCCATTGACTGCTGGGAACCTCCAGGGGAAGAGAGGCTAAACGGTTGAGTGCAAGGCTGAGACAGAGGTCTCCTCTGTGGGCTTGGCGTCGGGGTGAGGACCCCTCTCCGCTCTGGAAGCTCTTTTTTTAGCAGGGGGAGCAGGTTGTCTCCTTGGTTGCTCTTTTCTGGGCAAGAAGAAAGAGGGAGGGAGGACATGCACCACTGGTCATGTACAGAGACCTGGCGTGGGCACAGAGTGATGCCACACAAACACACACACACACAATCACTATCT